GGATGTGATTCTATATGAAAAAATAAGTCGAAAATGAAGACTAAAATTTGTTTGTATATTGCTCTGTTTCCAGAATAATTAAATTTCAAGTTGAACACTTCAGTAAGTAGAATGGGAATGTAATGAACAGACGCGATGACTAGGTTCTATTCAATTGCAGGCGTATCCAGTAGGTGTTAAAATTCAAATCTATCAAAAACGAAGCATCGTATGAAAAATTTTATTCTATATTTTCGACTTATTTTTGTATATAGAATCACCTCCTGTCGGGTTATTCCACCAGTCTGTAAACACCTTATATGAGATTATTAACTATCTGGAAATAATACTCAAGTTCCAAGTGGTATTAGTAATTTCTTATCATGATACCCTGTAATTGAGGATTCATTTTAATTTTTATTATAAACACTGTTCTAATAAGCGAAAGATTGTGAATTGCAGATAGCTACTTAATCGCAGAATTGAAACTGAAACGCAGCAATTTAACAGATGGGAAAGACTAGAAGGAGCCTTGAAAGTCTTCATCATTTCCCTGAGCCCCCTATTAGTATGAGTTCAGCAACGTACCCTGTCTTATATACTCGTTTTTCTTTGCCTTATCCACCGGAACTAACACGAAAGACAAGCTAAAAGTGTAAAGCCCTCCGTTTAGTTTCCTCCTTCTACTGTCTGGCTGCGCTCCCTACATGCAACTGCACTCCAGTCGGTCATACCTATAACGAGCATGCGGCAAGACGTCGTCGCCAGCCAATTTGTCGCACACAGAGGCGCCCTACCCTCGAGCTGAGTCATCCCTCGACCTCCCTACTGAATTAACGAAATCTTTCGGGCATTTTTGTCGGCCAAACGTTCCCAGTTCCTCGATACAATATAAATCACATATTAACGTAAGATTATCTTAATTAGTTATAAATAGACTGTGTAATTTTATGGAAATTACTGTATTGCGTTTTGCATATTCACATTTACGATAAATGCATACAATTCGCAGTCTAATTATAAATAATCTACGTAGGCGTAGAAATAAGATGTTGTATAGTAGTGTTAGACAAACTGGTAGATTGAATGCAAGCAACCCCTTTTTAATTAAGGGTAGAAACACAGTAGAAAGTTGTACTTTTCGTGGGCTGCAGTTCCGTAACTTTTTACAACTTTTTTCACATCTTTTTTCACGTCGACTACAGTCGTTTCATTTTCCACCGAGTCCAATTACATAACAAAAGATAACAATAGTTTCTTTTCTGAAATGTGTGCTTGCTTGAACTGCAGCCAAGAAACGTGCACGGAAAACGCCGATTGTGTCTGATTGGCCCTGCAGTTGTACGTGATTAAGTTACAGAAGCTTTAAAACTCGAGTAATGGAAAAATTACGTTTCTGGGTTAACTGTATCTCCGTTAAACTTCCTCCGTAGTTCCGTATCCAACTACAAAATCTGTATTCTGTACCTTCTAGGCTTTGCAACATCCACATCATTGTTACTCATACCAAAGAGAAAACAGACCTTGCAGATTCACGACTCTTCAATTATCCCACCGTTTTCACTTTGAATAATTACATTCACAAAAACAAACAAGAATACCTACAATATACCCGTTTCTCAGATTCAACAAAGAGTCTCTCGATACCTACGATAACCACTCTTCACCTACCCCGCTGTCGTTTCACTCGAATAATTAGACCCTCAAGGAAACATCCGGTTAATCGATTATTGACGATCGTTCCACTGTTTCGAACAGTTCCAAGAGCCTCTTCTTTCCACGCAACTTTTCCACCAGCTGCCAGCATCAGCGGAACAAAACTCTTCGCCGAACTTCCGACTCTTCCCACCGTGTCTGGAACTTCGAACTTACGCTTGTCTCTTCGGGCTTCTTTCGAACGAAATAACGAGATGCATTCGAGGGAACACGACCGACCATCCCCGAAAACCGGGTCCAAACTTTATCCACTGTTGGGTTGCATATAACGCAACTGGACAACGCCGCTGCGGGCCAATTTCTCGCCCTTGGCCTCCCCTATCGGTGATTCATCCCTCGGCACTTCCTTCAGACTCGTCGTCGAAGTTTCGTCGAATTTCAGGCTAATTATGAGCTCGGTGTCGTTGGAAGAAAATTCAACGGGGGAACTTTTCGTGCCTCTAGTCCGCTGTAAGTGAGCATCGCGAAATAGGAAGTTTGATCGCGTGAATTCCAGCGTTGTTAGTCACGAGACCCTCGATGAATGAATTCTCGATCCGTCAGTGTCGGACAGGAACAGAGGGAAAGCCGATTACCCTCTTGTTCGTCACGGGAATATGACTCGAATCACGACGGTCGATGGACGGTAAAAGTGGCGAGGGTCGTAACAAACGTCGAATTAGCCGAAAGAGGTGACACGTCAAAGGGACACGGGGGAAAAGTTTCATTCCGACTATTTCGATGGGTTTAATTGACCCTGCCATGAATGACACCATTGTGCTCCCGAGGACCTCGTGAACAGTGTGAACGGAGATTCGTATCTGTAAAAATGATAGATTTTTAATCGATTGACCCGCCCTAACGATCCTTTTAATTTTCTTCTCACTGCGGTTCTAATAGAAAGTCAACACGATTCTCGAATAATTTTTTATTAAGTGTAATACGTAGGGATATCAAAAGTTTGCAAAATGAAACTGCCATTTTGCTTTACAAAGTCACAGTGTGAAAACGACGAATCTTCAGAGTAAAGTGTTATTTACTGAATTCCAGAATTTTCTTTTAGTACTCGATTTTCTACTGTCTAATTGCATTTGTTTGCGAGAAGTCGTTTTTTAAATAATAGAAAATCTGAACTTCGAGATACATGCAACAAAGAATGTTTCCTTCTATAGAATTTGGGGAGGTTACCTGCAAGGTTTGAAAGGGGTGGAAATATAGAATGCGAAATTGCATCGATAATAAAGGATCGTACATAGAAAGATAAATTTCCTCCGATTAATAATACGTCTTTAATTAAAATTTTCGAACAATTTGAGAACCCCACTTTCCCACAGATTGTAACCTTGTATCCGATTGGAGAGAGACCGGTCCGTAAAGGAATATATTGCTTTCGCCCCCAAAGAATTTAATCCGCGCACATCGAAGCGAGACAACACAAACACGCGCGCACGTTACCCCCCGCAAATACTTTTTCGGGTAGAAAGAACGAATCGCGTTGTAACACACAGGCGTCCCTTTGACCGAAAGAAGGCGGTCGTGTTCTCGAAGCACGGAAAGGGGCAGGGGGGAGGACTTAAAGCTAGCGGTTGAATCAATACCCGGGAGCAGGAGGGAGATAGGTAGACGGTGAGGAGGATAGGAGTGTCAAGGATAGAAGAAAGGAAGGAAGGAAGGAAGGAAGGGACAAAGGAGGCCAAGGAGATTCGACTTAGCACCCACACTGACACGCACGGTTCCACGGATGCCTATGTGTGCATACACACCAGCGTGTATCCCAGCGCGTATACACACCCGATAGCTTGTCGATAACCGCTCGCGGAGCTTCTTGGCGTCGTTTCATGATTATCGGGAAGAACGATTTTTTTGTTTTGGTTTCTTTTTTACCAATATGACCGATTGCGTCCGCTCGGTATGGACACGCTGTGTCGGTTTCTGTGCAACGTTCTTCTAGCGACTGTCGTCTTGTTCAGGAGCATCAGTGAGTAGAACACGATCCACAATCTCGGTGTATCTCTGTCCACCAGGCGCTTCAACTACATTCTGCTGCTTCTACGACTTTCGATCTATCGCGATCCGATCGGTCAACAGTTTTTTTTTTTTAAACAATACAAGTACCGTCAATTTATATACAGGATGTCTTATGCAACTGGACCATGTCACAACGTTAACGCGGTAGAAGTAAGACAAATTTTCATTAGGAAAAATTAAACGATTTCGAATGGTACATTGCGTGGGACATGTGTCTTTCGAGAGTGGAATTTTTCTTAGACTTTAAGGTCATCTCCATTTTTTTAAATGGAACTGTACATATAAATTTGCTTACCTTTATAATTTATCCACTTTACTGCTCTAACCCAGACTGAATCTACACTTGATGGACAACATATAGCGAACTTGTAAAATTGGTTACAATAGCCGTAACAACCCCTTATTGAAATTCAAAGCCAGGTAGTTCTCGAAGCTCATTCAAGACCATAGGAATCGTCGCTACTTTAATGCAGTTCCCATCGCGCTCTCAGTACAACAAATTTGCTCTGATTGCTCTAAACCTTAAGCTTAACTACCATTCACAGGTGTGAGCGTATTCAAGGCGCAAACTATAATCCGGTTAACCCTTAGCATACCAAGGTGGGGTCACTCAAGAAACCCAAGACATCTTTTTCGATGCCTATCGATAACTGCTAGAAACTTTTCAAACCAGTAAAATAATTGAATAAAATCACTTGCAATTATTTCAATTATTGCATTATATCAATACGTCCTCCAGTCTTCGTCATTGTGCATTGTAGCGTGATATCTTCTGGGTATCCTATCCACTAACTTCTCAGTATATTCTCGAATTTGTTAGATTAGTTATTTAAAGTCCATATAATTTTTTTCTCAAGCTTTAGCATCATATATCCCCATTAATTTTCAATTGAATCATCATCGAGCAATCGTAACGCCAGTCCACGACTTGGGTACAGTTTATTGCTTCCACTGTGCAAACAGATAGCTTCAATGTTTCGGGTCATTGTCTCGCCAGCAATGTTCCTACGCGCTCTATTATTAATTCCAATAAATCGAATTCTTAATGGTGTTGCATGGCTTATGGTACAAACATACGATAATACACACACAACGATATAAAAAAATCATGGAGTCCTTTAAGAGTCCACAGAATAAATCATCCCCCCCTGGTATGCTAAACGGTTAATTCTCGCCTCCTGAAAACCGTGTTGCAGCTAGTTAATTCTACGTGTTCGCTACATCTTGTCCACGAACTACATCCCAAACTACCTGACAGACCTACTAATCCTAATTCCTGTTCTCGAATCGTTTTCCAGAGAACGGTCTGCTCTCGTTCGAGAACCCAAACTACCACTTGGATCCGGCCCGGCTGGACGACGCGTTGAACAGCAACGGGAACGGCAGCTCCCTGTACGATGAGCTCTATCAGGAGTTAGTCAGCAGCGGTGGCCGTGGCGGCGAAGTGACCGGCGGCGGCGGCGACAGAAGCGGCGAAGTGACCGGCGGCGGCGGTGGCGGCGGCGGCGGTGGGGGTGGAACGAGGGCGCAGGCACGCAGAACATACGCTACCCTGGATCCCGGCAGCATGGGGGTTGACGTCACTCAAGGTCCCCTCACCCGGGACACGGTGACGGAGGACGCGCCGGACAATTCGGACAACCATAACCTAGGGTGAGTACCGTTCGTTTTCGTCCCGACATTAAACGGATCACGTTCGACGGCCGACCCAGGCGAAATAGGCGACGTGACCGCGGTTCGATTCCTCGTGGACGTGCCACGACGAGTAATCTTTCCGGGGAAACTTTCTTGGTACCATATACGTATATATATGAACGCTCTATGCATTCGAAACCGCGAATAGAACGACGCAGGGATTACAGTTCGGTTCTTGGTTTTCCTGTGAATCCAGTTTTACCGGGATTGAGACATTGTGTTCTTAGCCCCCCCGGTAGAACGTGCTCCGTATAGTGTCCGGAATAGCGATGCACCGGCAAAGGTGTCCCTGATATCCTAATGGAATTGTTAGGTACCCACGGAAAGTTCTGCCCTTGTAACGTCCATATTTTCCAATGGGAAACCGTGAAATATTATGCGAGGGACATTGACAAATCGTCGGTATCGCGATAGTTGGTTGTGTGGAATAAGAGCCGCCGTGGGAACGATTAATTTTGTGGGGAATAGATGTTATCTGCTGGAGTAGAACTTTCCGTGGGTATAATGTTTTCGTAGAACGGTATCGTTGCGTGGAATAGAAGAAGTGTAAGTCGTGTAAAACGGAAGATGCATAAGGATAACACGACCTTGACTGAACGTGACCAATGAAGGTCCTTGATTCTACTTACGTCCTACGAATCGACGATGATGACGGTGACTTTGGAAACGTTAATAATGACGGATTTTTTTTAATATCATTAGTAATTAGCGTGGTATTTATGTGGATCATTTTAAATAGGAGATTTAATAAGGATAAAACTATTATATTCCCTACAGGATGTTTCATAAAATGTGGATCGATTGTCGACAGTAAATATAACATACAAAACTTGAACTACAAATTAAATTGTATAATATTGTAATCTACGTAATACACAGGGTGTCCCTGGTTGGCAACCACGTCTCATGAAGCATCCTGTGCACGGAGTACACGAAACGGCGGAAGAAGTCGTAGAATAGATCGTCGCCCCGTCCCCAAAAAACAGTTTCGGCGGAGAAAAAAATACGGGGGAGGGTCTCTTTCGAACCCTGGCATGTCGGATCTAATATCCGCCAGGCGAAGATGAAAATATCCGCGATTTATATTCGTCCCCGTAACCGTCCGGCCATTCTCTTCGGGATATTTTTATGCTTTTGCTTTTAAACATGAGCCGGTCTCTCGATGCCCTTCTACCCTGAATTCCCTTTATCCCAGCAGAACATAGATATTCCGAAGGAGGGAGGTGGTGGTTCCCTCCTAGAATCGCGGAGAAGTGGAATAAACGAGAAATCGGCTTCGAGAACCGAATTCGAACAGCCGTCTCCCCTACTCCCTGGTAATATAAGGTCCAGCCACCTAGAGCCATTGATAAAACTTCCGAGTTGGACCTCATCGAGATACCGCATAAAATTTCAATAAATCCGGATCCGTGAAACGGGGGGAGGGATCCTGGACAGAAGGAACGAATGGCCGATGCTACAAGCCAGTTCGAACTTATTTCCGGCTGTTACACGCTCCCTATCCCCCCCACTATCCAGTATTTGTCCAGCCGGTCGAAATTCTCCTTTCAGTTCGTACATTCTCGTGGAACCCCTTTTGTCTCTCGTACCTGTTATCGAGCCCCTTCCGAACGACTCGAGCCGCCTTAAAAAGAATCGGGGCCTTTTCTTTCTCCGAATATTGGACAAAATGGCGATTACGAGTGGATGTCGCAGGTTGAATATAATAATGGGGGATGGGAAGTTAAAGTTCTTACTTCCGAGTGTATAGTCGATTTGATATCGAGGAATGTTGTAAATTAATACTGTCAAGTCCGTTTTAACAAAGTATGAGTTTGACAGGTTCCACGTCCCTCCCCCAGTGGTGGTGATAATACCTGGACAATAATCGTGTAGAAAAAGCCAGACAATAATCGAGAGGCATCTGTATATTGATTGTTCCTGCCTACGAATGCACCTGTTCCTTAGTTTAGTCTCCAGGACTAAACAAGTAATTCTGCCTATTTTGTTGATTCGAAAGCAAACTGCTATAAACAATCGAAAACAACGAGATTATTGTCTACAAGGAAGAAGATCCGTTACCGATCGACGCGATACGTCGAGCTCAATGTTCCCCATTACCCAGTGAATTAAGATTTCCGGGCGGTGGGGCAAACGCATTCGGACAGGAACGGGCAACTTCGAAAGACGATTGGAAGTTCCTCGTGACAGTTACAGAGTCTCCCAGTCGCGATTGTTCAACGGCTCGGAATTCCCCCTCACCCCATGGATTCCATTTCTGGTTCACGCGTCGAGTTTCATCGTCCCGAGGATCTTTTGTCGTCGATGTTTGGAATTACCGGATTCCTCGTCCCAGCTCGTTAATCTTGCAAACGAGATTTTCGGAAGGTCCGAACGATTGGCTCTCGCCGATTGTTAGTCGCTCCGATCCACTCTCCGTTAATGTCGAAATTAGATTACGCGAGACTCCTGTAATTAGTTTCCGCTGTCCTGTTCCCTTGTTATTCGCCGTTAATAAACGCTCGGGATTGTTTTATCGGGAATGATTCAGAGGGATACGCAGCAGAGTGTTTTCATCCTCTGACGGTTTATTTTGGAACATATTTTACCATCCTTTTACTTTTTCTTACTGTACTGGAATTCTGAGCATGAGACGTGGGTGAATATTGGTAAAACCCACTGATTGGGTATTGTGTGTTTCGTGGAAAATGACTTCTAACCTCATCTTCATCGTCACATGTGAAACTTAGCAATGCATAATGTAGGCACGTGAGTTTATAATTGGTTTTTAATTCATTTGACAGATACCACTGTCATTAATGTTGCGTTAGACATCAGCTCGCATTTACACGTCTCGTTTTCTACTGAATCTTAATTTTACTACGTTGCAACTCTTGAATTACAAACAGTAAGGTATAGAAAAATTATTATGCAGGTTCAAATACCATTAAAAATTATTTCTATTACAAAACGTTTAAGCTACGTTTATTTATTGCACCTATTTCTTTATTACAAATCGTTCTTCATTTTTTATGGAAATATGACATTGTCCGAAAACCACGAAATTAAACCCATAAATTATTCCTTTGATCTAATCAATAAAAAGTTTCCGTAACCACATGTAAAATCTCGTAAGATGACGCGGCACTAGTATAGATAATGGCCCACGAATAGGTAGCCTCGGAATTCAAGCTATTTCTAATAGTTCAGTGAAAAAAATATTTTACATACATGGTGGACCAGAACAGGAGGTTATTCTACACGAAAAAGTAAGTCGTGATATATATAATAAAATTGATTCGTCTAATGCTTCGTTTCATTATATTCAATTTCTACTTACAGTCAGCACAAATACATACATATTAGACGTATTCTGAAACTCGATTATTTCAAAAACAAAATATCATACGAAAAAACTTTCTAGATTTTTAACTTATTTTTACATGTAGAATAAACTTCTGACCGGTTAGCTTATACCATACAAAAAAGTTTCTTGATTAAAAGTTCCACCGGTATTATGGTTACCGACTTAAGCACCTAGTATATCCCCTAAAAAAATTCAGAAGTTTAACTGCCCTCTGGTATCCCAAGACTTAAGCAGACGGGACAGGTAACTCCGGTTCGTTTGAGCACCGTCCGGTGGATCCATTCATTCATGTCCCGCGGATAATTGTCCGAGGCAAGGTGGGTTTAACGAGACGGAAGAAAATCGTAGATACGCTGCAGAAGCCGTCGATCGCACGTCTCATTCGGCCCGCGTTGAATCGAGATACCTTAATGGACACCCGTGGAACCGTGAACCTCTTCCAGCTGGATAATAAACTCCTCTCTTCTCGCCGTTCCATTTCGTCCGTCCCATCTTTCTCTTACCCGCCTCCCTCCCCACTGGTGCCCTTTTAGCTTCGTCTTTTTTCCTCGGGGGGCCGGAAATCCGGACGAGCATAAAAATGCAATTAAGGAAACGCCTGGCGTCTGGCGGAGACCTGCACACACCTCAACCCCTGAAAGGTGGCTGCTTCTTCTTCTTCTTCTTCTTCTTCCTCTACTTCCTCGTTTTTCAACCCCATCGTACTCTCACCCTTCATTACCCTCCTTTCATTTCTGTTTCCTGGGCACCCGTCCCTTTGGACCTGCCTAAATTCAGTCCACTGTTCCTTGGCTGGTTAAATGCCCGCAGTCTCTGGAAATAGAATGGATGAAACGCTGGTATCCAAGACCCCCGGGAGAGCCAAGAAACCTCCGGCAATTAGCGAGTCGAATGATCCCCGGTGAAAGAATTGAATGGACCGATCGACGAAATAGCGATGTTTCGTCGTCGAGTGTTTCTTTTATTCCTTTTGTGCATTCTAGTGTACCGTAAATAGATACGGTTCGCGGTCGTATTGATTGCAGAGGTTTGATGGATGAATTGGGAAGTGGTCTGTCTGATATAACTGGCACGCTCTAGAATCCGTCATTTTATCGATTTGGTGTATTAATATACTATTATCGTGGCGGTTAAATAGAGTCAGGCGAATGCAACATTTAGCGATGTATGGCCGAGTCAGAAAAGGTTACTGGATGATGGAAAATGACTATCAATTTCATTATGATTGTTCGTCTTTAACTGTATTATGTCTGTGAAGCGTTATATGGATTTGCTTCCAGATCTGCCTATTTTGAATTAAACGTTGATTAATAAGAGGGATGGAGACGTATCTGGTGTCTGTATATTTCAATTTCTGGACTCGATTGTTTAGATAATCTAGTATAACTTAGTGACTGTTTCAGTTATTTTTAAAGCGACATGATTCCCGAGTATTAGTACTTCGAATAAATTGTAACGTTCACATAGGTCACATACTTTTCACCACCTTTGTTACCTTACCCATGATACTTTAAGGCATACAATTTTCTTATTACTATACATTTTCCAAACAGTTTAAATAAATGTTACATTGAATTGAATTCGACGAGATTTGAACGTCGTGCAAAAGTTT